CTAAAATGTAAATACTTAAAAGTTGTGCCGAACCTCACGATGAAAATTTGAGAGTGCTCGGAGTCAATTGGATAAAGGAAGACGTCAATGGAATCAAATTTAGTCAAAAGATGATCACAAATCAATTTCCAACCAAAAAGTTATGTTCCGATATTTTAGTCTCATATTGAGACCTATTTTGGCATATAAAGTGATCGAATTAGAGACTGATGTCTGAATCAAAGTTGTAGCTAGATGAGTTAGCTTTTCAACGCATTTTGAATCGCCTCAATCGGACATCGGAATACAAAGTTATGATAAAAACATTGAAGGAAGGTGCAGCTGCCTGTTTAAAACAAGAAATTCCGTTACATAGTCCGTTAAAACAACAAATTCTGTTAGTTTTTTCGTTAAAAACAAGAAATTCTGTTACATATCCACTTCTAATATATAGAAGATGTGCGATTAAAAAATGTAAAAAAAATTTAAATATACATATGAAATAATTTATTGTGTAAATATAATCATGTCAAATCAGCATGTCGGCTTGGGTCGAATCCCTTTTGTGGGGGGAAGGGGGCCACACGGGCCATTTTCGGCTTGGACGATGGAAAAAATACAAAAATAAAAAGTAGCTGCCAGCTGCCTGCAACACAGGCAGTTGTCATTGTCATCGACAGTCTGTCTTTGGCACGATAGATAAGATAGCTGCCTGCAACAACTTTGTCCACTTGCAGTTGTCATTGTCTACGACAGTCTGTCTTTGACAATATAGATAACGTAAATTGTAAATTTTTTTAAAATTTGAATTTGAAATTCATGTATAGTTAAAATAGATTTATTTTTTGGCTATAAATCCTAGAAAAATTTTTACAACTTCGGGTGTGTTTGAGTCACATTATTTTGGAAGAATGTATTCTTGAATAGTAGATTGATGGAGAATGTGTGGTTAAAAAAAAGTTATTGATGTTATAGAAAATATTATTTTATTGAAGAATGTGTGTTTGAAAATGAATAGAAGAATGATCATGAAAAATTTTAATGTGTATCAAACAAGGATATCAATTTATTTCAATCAATCTCTAATTTTTTTACTCAATATTCAGTATTATAGTCTAAAAATAAATAAATAAATAAATAAATAAATTAAAGAATGACTTAGCCTCAATTGTATATGTCAAGAATTAGAGGTGGCAATCGAGCCAAACGGCTCGTTAGCTCGCCCGCTCGACTCGTACTGTACCAGCCCACGAGCAACTCGGGCTCGTCTGAGCACGAGCCGAGCGGGCTAGCTCCCTAGACGAGCCAAGCCCGCTAGGCGAGCCGCTTGTGGGCTCGTATTGTTTATATAAAAAAAAATCCAAAACTTTTCAGTGACCAGAACGGTCACTGAATTTTATTTTTTCCTCTATAAATATCCACCCCTTAATCAACATTTTTTCCCACCAATCATCTCATTCTCTACTCTACTCTATATAATTTAGAAATTATCAACATTCAACAATATCAAATTATCAATTCATTTCATTTTATTATTATCTTCATCTTCTACAATTTTTTTACATTATTATCTTGATTTTACTTTTACAATTCATTTTATACACTACTACATAATTTTCATTCACTTCTCAATTCTACATTTCTACATTCTATTTCAAATTTTCAACATTCAATTTCTATTATTCACAAATGGATCCATGACAATTTGTTGAAAACTTGTTCGATGTGTGTGCGCCTTATTTTTAATTTAATAGTACAAGACGGTTTGAAATATGTTAAAGATTAAATTAACCAAACTAGGAATGCACTTATATATATCACGATTACACCTAATAGAAAACAAGCATTCGAGGAATTTTGTGATGAAGGTGGGAAGACGCAAACAAAGACCTTTATTACTAACGTAGGCCATAGATAAAACTCAACTTATTTATTATTAAAATCATGTGAATATTTTGAAGCGTTTATTACTGAATTTTATAACAATAGGCATGTTAGAGACGAAGACGATACTATCTTGAATGAATCCGATTGAAATGTAGTTTTTAAAATTAAAAATTTTTTGACAAATTTTTATGAGTCTACAAATATATTGTCTGGTATTTATTATCCCACTA